AATGCTGAGAAAATGTGAAAATTTTTGGGTCCTCACAAAAGATGACAAGAAGAGTTGCATGCCTTCAGTCAATCTTGTTATGATGACTACAAATTTCATCCAATGTAAAAACCATTTGCTAAGTTGGAGAACAACTGTTGTTGAACCTTGAATCTCACGAACCAGCTTCAATGTATGCTCAACTTGATTACTTGTGGTCATGAGGTAAGGATCCTCAAAATGGTATGAAGTGTATCCCTTGAAATCGAACTCATACTCGATTACACTTGAAAGACACCAAGGCAGATTTGGTGAAGTGGAGCTTCACGTGGACTAAGGGTAAGATGACAATTGTAGTTGCAATGATCATTGAGGAACCTGTTCTTCAAATGAACCCTTGGTACACAACCAGCTCCAAAATTTGGAATGTTCCCTTAAAGATGAGCATGAATTAACTCTTCATTGGTGTGGACATACTTGAGTTGACATTGTTCCATGAATTGATACCAAAGGGATTTAACTCCTAGAAGACAAACTCCGCGGAAACTTGCAAAGTGTACAATTGACTTTGAAATAGAACACGTCAATATCAACTCTACTTGACTTTGCTTGATCTGCATAAAAGAAGAAATACTAAACAAAGCAAAGGTAAGTTTGTTAGGAAAACAATAAACCCTCACATTTTTTCCCAAAATCAACTCACTTTCTCTCTTTTCTTCCTTTTTACCAATTATTTCATCAGATTTTTTCATCTCTTTTTCTAGCTCAAAACCCTTGATTGTTTCCTCATTATCAACCTTCTCAACAAATGGTTCGATAGGATGAGATACTCCTTTGTTAGGAATAGACTTGGCTATCTCCTTCTTAGAAGGCTCAATTTGACGGCATCTATTTGACTCCATTTATTTTTGGTGGAGAAGACGTTGATATGTCTCCCAAAATGACTTCTCATGAGATGGTTCAACTCTAGGTTTAGGCCTAGAAGATGTTGAATGAACCTTCATATCACCTCTTGTATAAATCGGCTTTAAAGAGGTAGATTGCATGGTACCCCTCCTCTTGAGAGATTCATTCTCACGTTTAGGTTTATGTTTGTGTTCCCTCAACCTTTGTTCCCAATCTTCAAGTTTGGTGTCCGCATTTGAATCACTAGACTCATTTTCCTTCTAGATTTCTTAGAGAAACTCCTTGAAGTTTCTAGGTTATCAATGCGTTCATGAATCAATTCTAGCTTAATGTCAGTTTTTCTTTGGGAGTCAGCTAACACAGCATCCAATTTTAAGTCAAGTTGAGCAACGGTCATTTCATTTTCACTTGCCATTTTAAAACTTGCAAGAAAGAGTTAGTATAAAATAGAAAATTTTACCTCACCACTCCCTTACGTGTTTCACTTCTTACTCAAAGTGTTTTGAACACTCCAATGGTCTCACCAATCACTTCTCAAGTCGTTTGATTACTTCATTTGAAGAAATTAGAATTTTCTCAATGAGAATCAATCAAACTTTTCACCGGTTTCACACAAGATGGTGGCGGATGAATGCTGGACTTTTTTTTTGGGCGAAATGGACTGTTAAACAACTCAAAAGACACAATGAATATGCTGGAAAATTTTCAGATTTGTTCGCTAAAAGATGATTCAAGAATTTGGAAAGTTTAGACCTGACTAGTGACTCAAATTATAGAACTAAAACTGGTTGGAACCCAAGATTGATTTAGGCTCCTTTTGGGACCTTTTGAACACGAATTTACAAGTTAAAAAAGACTTAAAAGACACGAATTTAATGGCTGGACAGATTACAAAACTCGATTAAGTCAGAAACAAAATAGCAGAAATTTGGAAGCCTAGAATTGCTCTACCCGATTGTACCTTGGTTGGGATTTTGAAAGTTGAATCCAATTGGTTCTTGGATTTATTTTGGAAGATAAGCTGCTGATTTTTTTGGAGTAATTTTCATGTATAAGCAGCTAGCAAAATCTAGATTGGATTAGTTATTTGATGACTAGGATTTGTTTACAATCCCAAGTCAACTTGGTTTCTCAAATCAAATTTGCTTTCTTGTTTTAATCCAAGAGTGATCCGACTTCATGTTTCTTTCTTCTTTTTTTTTTAACTACAACTCTTTCTTTCTTTTCTTTTCAATTTCGGATCAAACACTCAAAGACAAGAATTCAAGCCACAACAAGAAACAAGAATTGGCTGCTACTTTGTTCAAGAAATAGGAACTAGGGTTTTGCAAGAATTTTCAAGATTTATAAACTTTTGTTCAAGAATCCAAGAAACGCTAGTTGTCCCCCCAAGAATTTCAAGAAAGTATCCAAAAATCCCAAAAATTCAAGTTTTCTTATCAAGAAATTTTAGGAACTTGAACACCTCCAAAAAAAAAGAATGATTAGCTGTGGATTAATTTCAAGAAACATAAGACCCAACACAAATTGACAAGAAACACTAGGTTAAGCCTCAGATTTCCAAGAAAACAATGACCAGAAATTTTTTTCCAGTGAACAGTAGCGATGAACAGTGCCAAACTTTTTTTTTTTTTTTTATTTATCTCTAAGCAATTTCAAGACTCAAGAACAAGACCACAAGACACGATGCAACCAACAATTGATATTCAAGCAGCAAGGAAACACAGAACAGCAACTAAGGGATGCGGACAGCAAATAATGATGGAATCAACAAGAACAACAAAGAAAAACCTAAACGACTTTATTAGGATAACACGACCAGATTTGACACAAGGAAAACTTACTTGACATGAACAAGATATACTTGAATTCGTCAACTAGCCCCGATACCAAGCTGATACGAACCTGCTCGAGAGTATGAACTCGTATCCCACCAAGCCCTGGATCTAGACGAAGAACACAAGTTAGAATGCGGAACCTTGACCCTTCTAAAACCACAAGCTACAAACCAAGACAAATCTCGACCCACAACTTAGTATTTTAACGAACCAAAAGTATTGGTAGAAGAACGCCACAATCAAGGTATATACTTGATTGATAAGTTCAAGTTGAATAACTTAAAAAAACTCTCAAGTATTCAAGAAAGCTCTCTTGGACAAGAGAAGTGAATAAAACTCACAATTTTATTGTAAAATCTGACTTTCCTAAACGTCTAAGAGGTTAGACTATTTATAGCTTTACATGACTTGAAAACCTAATGCGATTTGGAATCACTTGAAAATCTAATGTGATTTAGAATCACTTATTTGAAAACCTAATGTGATTTGGAATCACTTATTTGGCTAAGACACTAAGTAAGTTTAGGCCTCCTGAAGACTAATTTTTGGCTGAATATTTCAGCAATTAAATTGACAATTAAAACCCTAACTAATGCTACTAATCAAATGACACAACTTCTAAGGGAATAACTTAACTAAATTAATTTGCTTCTAACTCTTCATAGGTTTGAATGGAGATTCGGATTTTCATGCTCTCATCTTTTCATAAATTGAATTTCTATCATACTTAGTGGTTTGAAATTTTGATCCTTTTTCATACTGAATATCAGTCGGAGTAGGCTTAGGATAATAATTTCCAGTGTCTACCAATTTCCAATTTTTTCCTCGATCTTTTTGACTTCTTATTTTATTTAAATGATTATCTTCTTAAAATGTTTGTTCTCTTGAAGTTATGATTGCTTGTTTTTCATCATTATCATCTTCTTCTAACGAATTTTTTGTTGTTGAATCATAATGCTTTTTTATATAATCTAAAGTATTTATTTTCGCCTAATAAATATTAACTTTGTGATAGTCTAGAAAGAATTGAATTATGTCCTTCTGAAACAGTTTGAGTTAATTCTTTTTTCTTTTTCTTTAGGGAGATTTCTAGTTTGAAAATGTGGGCCGAAATCTCATCACTATCACAAAGTTTATTTTCTTTAGGCACGGGAATTTCGAAAACGAATACTTTAGATTATATAAAAAAATGATTATGATTCAACAACATAAAATTCTTTAGAAGACAAATGATAACTTCAATCGAACAAACATTCCAAGAAGATAATCAAGTAAATAAAATAAGAAGACAAAAAGGTCAAAGAAAAAATTGAAATTGGTAGACACCAGAAATTGTTATCCTAGGCCTACTACACGTGATATTTAGTATGAAGAAAGATCAAAATTTTAAACTACTAAGTATGATGGAAATTCAATTTATTAATGGAATATTGATGGAAATGCTAAATATGAAATCCTAAATACATTACAAGAAATTGGAATGAACACTTACTTGATAATAGACGAAATTGTGGATAAAATATTTGAAGAAAGCTTCAAACTAAGTGAAATTCTCAAAATAACTTTTATTTTAAATGATTACAATAGAAGGCAAAAGGGAAGCATATCTAGTAGTTCTTGAGGCTAAAACACTCTTCCTATGGTTTCAGCATCTAAAATGAAGTTATTTCAACAAAAATAAGATTTTTTGGCATGACATTTACAAAGGAACTATAAGACCAATTAATAGAGTATTAGAATTTGCAAATAAATTTTCAGATGAGTTTGAAGATAAAACTCAATTACAAAGACTTCTAAGATGTTTAAATTATAGGGAATTTCGCCAATTTGGTCCCTAAACATTTTCACTTAAATCAATTTCGTCCTTGATGAAATATTTTAACCAATTTAGTCCTTGAACTAATTTTTTACTTCCAATGTAGGACTTTTCACTGCATTTTACTCAATTTGAGTGGACCAATGGGGGTATAATTGTCGTACTGGTTTAATCTTTTGCAATTAACCGACGAAACAAATTAGATTGAAGGTACTCGGTAATTACCAACTTTGTCATCCAATCCAAGTCAACCCGGTGGCTTCTTTTTTTTTTTATAATCATCTCATTTCGGAGCACTGCGAATATTCGTCGTGGATTGAATTAAACCCAGAAATCGAAATAAATCAGCAACACTCGACATTTCTTTAGCAGGCGAAGATTTACTTGCTGGTACTGGTACTGACTGATAAGTCGATCAAAAATGGTTAAAAAAGAATTTAATAAATAATGGGTTCAGGAAGGAAGGAAGGAAGGAAGTCAGTTCGTTCATTACAAGGATATTTGATTCCTAATCGGCATACATGCATTCAATCACGAAAAAAGAGATGACATGGGTCGGAGAGTTGAACCCAGAAAGGGGAAAAAAAAGGGGGGGTTGGATGGAGATTAAGGGGGCTTTTACACATATTTCTTCTTCTGCTTCAGCTTCATCTAGCCTGCCTAGTTTTAAGTAGTAAACACCTACCAGTACTCGCTCGGTCTACTGGGGAGAGAAGCATTTTTGAGTTTTTGTACTCTACTACTAAACTAGTAAGTTGTTTTCTAGCAACTAATTACTATTATTAAGCATAGACAGATCCGCACGAGAGAGCCATCAAGAGTATAGCGGCTTGTTCTTCCTCTCTTAATTTCCCCATCAGCTTTCCCGATCTCCGTAGCACCATTTCTCCTCCCAACGCCATTAATTTCATCCTCAGCGATTGCCCCACTCCGCCTCCTTCGTTGCTCTTGTTGCCGCCGCTACTGCTTTTCCTCTTCTTCTTGCCCTTGTCATTTCTACCCCTGTCCAGTCTCAAAAGCTCCCTCCTCTTCTTGTTGTACTTGATCCCGCATGCATTGTACAGTGACTGATGATGCAACAACAACAAACGCTAAGGATATGTAAATAAATACTCCACCAAACAAAACACACACTCTATTATCAAGAAATGCTAAGAGTGGTAGCCTGGAGTATATAGATAGAGATTGAGAGACCATTGGATATTATTTACAAATATATATATATATAGAAGAGAAGAAGATAATGCACCTTGGGACCAGCTGGACCTCCTCTCCACAGAGGCGTTCTGGTTGTATGGCAATCACTGCAACTCTTCAACTGCTTCGAACTGGAAGCCGAAGGGCTGCTGCTGCTGCTGCTACGTTTTGCATTCTACGTTTTGATTTCGTGGAGGTGATATTATTGTAAAAGAAAGGATATCTGCTTCTTCGAAGAAATAAGATGATTATAAAAAAAAGAAGCCACCGGGTTGACTTGGATTGGATGACAAAGTTGGTAATTACCGGGTACCTTCAATCTAATTTGTTTCGTCAGTTAATTGCAAAAGATTAAACCAGTGTGACAATTATACCCCAATTGGTCCACGCAAATTGGGCAAAATGCAGTGAAAAGTCCTACATTGGAAGTAAAAAATTAGTTCAAGGACTAAATTGGTTAAAATATTTCATCAAGGATGAAATTGGTTTAAGTGAAAATGTTTAGGGATCAAATTGGCGAAATTCCCTAAATTATATAGCATATTTCTTTCCAAATTTAAGAAAAGACTTTTCAATACTATTTGGAAGACCGAGCATATCTTCGACCATCAAGAGTGGTTCAAACTTTGAAAGAGAGATGTTTTCTAAAAGGAAGAAATATTCAGGGATACTAGATAAATGAATATTGGCCCAGTCAACATGGGAGCGATGCTTTGACCAGGAAAACAAAGAATTGAATTCTATCATTTGCTGATACTTTATAGGAAAACAAGCAAAAGAAGTTTATCAAAGGCCTTATCTATCAAGGATTATGAAATGAAAACTACTCAAATTTCTATTTCAAATGCATTTCAATCTCTTTCAGATTTCACTCCATTATCTTATGCTCAAACCACTCAAACTCCTACCTCTTCCAAGAAGAATACTAAAGGAAAGACCCTGAAAAATTCTCCAGAAAATTCAAACTCATATTTCACAAAATCTATTACACAACAAATCACCTTAACGAAATTCACAAAAACTCCTCCCCGCGCATATAAAATTTAAGCTCATACCCCGCACATGTCAAGTTTTATATTTATAAATTTCTAACTGCCCCACACGTGATTTTCTACAAGCATCCAGGTTGAGAATGAGAATAAGTATTAAGGGTTGAACTCACAAGGAAGATTGTCAATTACCGATGGCTATCAAACTCTTTTATTATTTAGACTATTACAAGTGCAAGAAATTAAATCTATACTTAAACATGAGATAAAAGTATTAAAAATAAGGGTAAAATACCAAAAAACTCCCTGTGGTTTGATAAATGTTCAATTTAACTCCCTTTAATTTGAAAACCTACACTATAAATCCCTGTGGTGTTGACTAAATTGAAAATTGAACAGAAATTATCCAATCTAACGGTTGCATGTGAAATGTCAATATTGCCCCTACTATATGTAAGATGTTTTCCATTCAATTTTGAATTTAGTCGAAATCACAAGGAGCTATAGTGTAATTTTTCAAACTAAAGGGAGTTAAATTGAACATTCGACAAATCATAGGGAGTTCATTTATATAGGGGCAATATTGACATTTCACGTATAACCGTTAGATTGGATGCTTTCCATCCAATTTTCAAATTAGTTGAAATCACAGGGAGTTATAGTGTAGGTTTCCAAATTAGAGGGAGTTAAATTAAACATTTAGTAAACCACAAGGAGTTTTTTTAGTATTTTACCCTAAAAATAACAATAGAAAGTTTCCAAAGATATGGAAATCCTCACTACTCTTGCAAATGAAATTATCGGTTAATTGAATGTTATTATCTTAACTAGTTATGGCATAATTTCCTAATGTATGTAAAACCTACTCTCGTAGTGATTCAACTCTATTTGTAAATAAGTCATATCTTCTCTCGTGGTTATGAAACTAACTACAAGTTCTTTTCTTCTATGAAATTACATGAAACAAGCCATAATACCACAAAGTTGCACCTATACTCTCGTGAGTGTACTCCCTAGGTTTAACACTTCTTTGAATTAGTTTCAAATTCCAATTTTCATTGCAAATTTAACACATTAATATTATTACAATTAATGGCCAGTTAATCATGATTAGAAAAGCAAAAGTGATAAATAACTTACTCAAAATAATATCATTATATAATCAAGTAAATATCACTAACAAATTATAGAAAGTTTATTCATAAATCTAGGCATGAACTTTATCTAAACATGAAGAAAATGAAAGAAAAGATCATACTTGTATTATAGCTAAACATGAACTCAAATACAAAAGACAAAGTGATAGGAGAGAAGCCACTTTTGTCACATGAGTTCCAAGCTCTCCATCTTGCTCCTTAATTCTTCATCCAAATCTAATTACAAGTACAAGATGAAAAAATTATACTAACTATACTATACTAATGAACTAAACTAATGAACTAAGAAAAACTAGTGAAGACAACCTTTTTGATAGTGTCTCTAACCTTCCAAAATTTATCCAATAAGCTATCCAAAGGTCTCTATTTATAGAGAATTCAAGATCCAAATGAGTTGTTAAAATTGATGTGAAATGCATCTTGAAATCACCAAAAGTTGCTTCTTGCAGTCTCTATGCTTGCTTGCTCATATCCAGCTGAAATTCTTGCAAATAAATTGTCAAAAAGCTTGTGTGAATAGACCACAAGTTGCATAACAAGTTGTAGCTACAATTGAAGAAAATGTGACCTTTGAAAACGCGGGCTGAGGTCGCGTTTTTACCTCACGTTTTGCTCTTTTGGAAGTTTTCTCAATTCTGGTTAGTTTTCAACCTTGCTCTATTTTAATACAAATTTCAATTGATATTTTCTCGATGATAGAGGCTGAACTAAGTCTTGTACAAAACATGAAATTTGTAGCCCTTTGGGTTATCTTTCCAAAGAGTTAAGAATCACTTGATTTGGGGCTTTGTAGACTGAGAAATGACCAAAATATCCTTAATTGGTCAAAACTCTGTTTCAGTTTTCGATAACAGAAATGGTTGACTATATTTCGGCTTTTTGACCAGGAAAATTCATGAACTGGATTTTGATGTTTTCACAAGAAATGTAGAACTATGTGTTAGCTTCAAAATGGCTTAAGGATAACCTTAATCCAATACTTATAGCTCAAGATATAGCCGAAATACCAATAGGCATCAAAACTGTCTAACTTTTTCTCTTTTATTCTTGATTGCATATCATCTTTTGCACATCATATTCTCTTTAAATCACTTCAATTCATCAATAATCATCCAAATATCTTCTCAAGTCACTCAAATTAATGATTGGATCATTAAACCCTACAACAACATAAAGTTTTCACCACTTTAATCCATTGACAAGCAATTTTTGACACTTAAACCGCAAAATGCAAAATTCATTAGCTATAAAAAGAAATAAAGCATACTTAAGACACACAAAATACACACTTATCAACCATGTGCGCAAGATCTAAACGAGATATAAATTGAAAGAAGGTACAGCAATAATTCAAAAGGTTGTGAGCCATAATAAAAAGTGAAGTGACATAAAGATACTAGCCAATTCCAAAGAAAGTGTCAGCATTGTATCAAGATACAGAGGAGACAATCAAGGGACAAATTTTTCAATTTCAGTAACACCAGTCCCTATATGAATTTTACAGCTCATTTTTCCTATCAATTTTGATAGCCTTCATTCATGATAGTGTGCCAAATGAGACTTGAAAATTGTTATAGGTGATGACTGGAAGTAACCCGCAGCACACGTGATAATTGGAAATTGCTTTCATTCACGATAGTCTGTTAAATGAGGCTTGGAAATTGTTGCAGTGATGGAAGTAACTCGTGGCACAAGCCACTGGCCACCAAATTCCACCGTTTAAATTGTAACTTTTTCTGCCTTGTTCAGCTTGTATTCATGAATGCACAATTACAGGTATAGAATATTGGATTAGTCCATGGCCAGAAATTCCATTTGCCAAAGACGTCTTGAATATATGTCATTAATGCTATGGATTGGTTTTCCAATTTATAGCTAGACTACAATAAAAGTACGATTTCACATTTGATGATACCTTCACCATAGATTTTAATGACTCTTGTGCTTGTAAACATGAACCTGTTTTCAATATAGCTGAGACTATTTACATATTATGATTGTTGCTGTTGCGTAGTGAAAATGGATATTTCATAGTATGTTCACATTTCCATCTTTTGTAGTTTTATTTGCCAACTCCTAACTTATTTCCAGCTTTGGAAAAATCAGCCTCAAGGACAATAAAAGCTTTTAAAATAGGAGGGCACCTGTTAACACGTTTAAATTCCTATTAACATTAGATTTTGAAACCATGTCATGTATCCTCAATTAGTTTCATGTCATTTGTGGTTTAATTAATTAGTTCCATGTCATTTGTGGTTCAATTATACTTTTAAATTAGGGATATAAAATCTTCAAAAAAAATTGCAAATTTGACAGTACCATGGTGTGACAAGTACTAAATTAAAAACTATATGTGCCTATTGAACATATTGAAATAAACATATCATATACATATGCATATACATACATACACATACACACAAGTATGTATGTATGCATGTGTATGCATATAAAATATGTAATAGAAGAATAATATATAATAGGCGATCAAAATTGTATTAAGGGATTTCATTTATCCACAAATTAGACTTAAGGATCCAAAGTGAATTTTGATTTGCTACCTGATGACTGATGAAAACATCATAGACCTTTTAACAAAAGGTCAAAGTAACACTTAAGGAAAAGCTGAGGGTGCAAATGTTCAATACTAGAAGTTTTGGTGCAAAATGAAAATTGCAAGAAGTTAAAGGGTTGAAAAACAGATTCAGCCCATAGGTTACATATATTTTTTTCCCCATATGTTACATATATGTACCATTAAGCATTTTTTTTTCTTGTAATTAAAACCAAAACTAACCAGCGAAATCTTAACAACATGGAAAATCTGGCAATATCTTCCTTGGCTTTTTTTGGACAATTTGTGGCACTATTCTGTTTTCCACCTTTTCACCACATCTTTCTTCAATAATGTTTTAATAGTTTATTTTTTGTTGCCCTTATTTCCTTAGCACAGTCTCCAGGGTGTGCGCTTTCCAATTTTACGTTTCAATGATTCAAAAAACGTGCAAGGTCTGTGAAGGAGTCAATGACATGAAATCTTTTTGATAATTAATTAAGTCCAAAATCCGCAATGCTAAGATGTTTTTCTATGGTTTGAGTCATTTCCAATGTTGGATGATATTTTCCCTTCTACAGCAGAATTTTTCTTAACAACTAGAATGGAAGATGACTATTCTGTTCCTAAACTTTAGGCTTACTTAAATACTTTCCTGTAGATTTGACCTCTAATTATATTATATTTAACCGGAAATTAATTATTAAACCCCATTATAGATTCTGATTTTTTTTCAACTCATTAAATGACACAAAATTTTCAGAAAAAGGAACAAAATATGGTAGCATGATTAAAACCACGTTAAGTAAGTAATATGAAAGTAAATCTTTTGATTCATACGCTCTAGTTTTGCAGATCTGATTTCGAAGGAGCATATAATTTCAGGCAAGTAATTATATAAAGAAAAGGCAAGTACTATATGACTTGCCCTGTGACCATCCGTGGTAAGTCCCTATAATTTTTCCGGTGAGTTGAACAACGCACCATGTTTATAATTACCATAAAAAACTAAGAGCTTTGCTATATAAGCATCATCACGTTGTAATATTTTTCATAGCAGCAATTTTTCCTCCATCAAGTAGTTAACAGCAAAAAGCTTTTTTGGCTATAACCCTACAATTCTTAGCCCAAAACAGAGATGGTCAAATTGAGATTTTTCCTGTTGTTCATCCTTCTAGGACTTGTGCTCTCAAAAGGTATGGCTTCAGAATTTGATATATTGATATACCCAATTCATAATAAATTCAAAATTTGTTTTATCTCCCATCCTTTGTAGGAAATACCATAGATAGATAGAGAGAGAGAGAGAGAGAGAGAGAGAGAGGGAAAAAGATCTATTTATCTCGATGTTGAATCATTTCTTTTTTTTTTTATTTTTTTAAATGATGAAGTTATTGTTTTTACTCAAAGATTTTTTTTGTTTGGATTATGACCTTTACTAACAAAAAACATAATAAATTATTGCCATGTAGTAAACCAGCAACCAGTTATTTCCTTTTTAGGATATGTTAACCTATCAATTATAGGTTTCGACAAGAAACTATGGACCTTTGCTTCCAACTTCTCACTTTGGCATCCATGGCACAGATGTTTTGCAGGTAAGTGCTGATGATATCATGTGCTGCTTTGATAACCACATTGGAAGTTGTGTTCCAAAGACTGGGGATGATCAAACTTGTGATAACCTTTGCAAACAACATTGCACCAAGGGAGGCCACTGCAAAGTTTTCGATCGTCCACCGCCAAATCATTATTGTCACTGCCTATGTTGATCTGATAAATCCTCTACTACAAACATGATTGCTACAACGAAGGCCGCAGCAAAGTTTCTAAGATCAATATTGTCAATGCTTATGTTAGTTAAGTTGGTCAGGGAACTCAGTTATTTTCTTATGAATAAAAATTGATTATTTAGCACCTAATTTTAGCCTCATTCCTGTACTACTATGTTTACATTCAGCAAATTTATGTTCTTGAACTTTCAAGCTATGCGCAAGGGAAATAAAAAAGAAAAAGAAACGTATTTAATGGGAGGGAAATAAGTAAAGTAGTCCATAAATTTAGAATATTAATAATTAGAGGAAAAAACTCCTTTTTTCTTTAGAAAATACCACCTTCAGATTATTAACTTAACAAGAAAAGGTACAATGAAGGGGACCTCAAAAGTATACATAGAAATTTTTAAAATCTCCAAAAGAATTTCACTGAAAAATAAGGGAAAATTGTTTAAAACGTCTTTCACATTTTATAAAATGATTTTTTTCATCTCTCGCTTTTAAAAGTGTACTTTTACATCCCTTACAAATTCACATTGGTCAAATTTGATCTTTATTTAGGTTTCCGACTAGTTTTGGTCGGAATCCATCACGTGCCTTGCACGTGATCGTTTTTGAAGGGCAAAATTGTCAAATCCAAATTTACATAATCCGATCCATAGTTCCTCACATTTCACAAAATGAATTTTTTGTCCCTCATATTTCAAAAAATAAATTGTTTCAACCCTCACATTTCACAAAATGAATTTTTTTAGCCCTCATATTTTATAAAATAAATTTTTTCATCCCTCATTGATCATGTGTACAGCTAATTTTTTTTTTGAACTAATGTATATATCTATTTGATTTCACCTGACCAATACGAATAGCATGTAATATATCTCTATTTGATCTTGGCTGAACGTACTGTTTAGGTCAAATTAACATAGATATATATAGTGGTTTAAAAAAATTATTAATTTTTTTCACTCATGTTCATTCTTTTTACTAAAAATTGAAAACAAAGAAGACATTTACTTCTAAACATAGTCTAGTGTTTATATCGAATTAAATTTGGACAGAAAAATAAATAAAGGAAAATATGACAAAAAGAAATAAGTGATTGACACTTTCAAATTTTAAGATAATCATAAGATAAGAAATTCAACTGTTGGTTTTAAAGGTAACGAGTAAAAATTTTATATTTAAATTGCAATTTGTTAGCATGAATAAAGAATTCGAATTAACACCGATTAATTAGATGGTCTTATTACACAACTCAATACATGAATTATTCCCAAAAAAGAAAAGGTTACAAATATTGAATAGATTCACATGGTGAAATAAAAAATATATATATGTGGGTTTAAAATAAAATTATTAGATTGAAACCCATGTATATATCTATTGAGTATTATATGTACAACTACAATTTGTCTATTTAGATGAAATCAAATAGAGATATATTATATGTTATTTGTATTGTTCGGGTGAAATCAAATAAATATATACATAGATTTGAAAAAAATTATTTGTACACATGATCAATGAGAGATAAAAAATTCATTTTATAAAATGTGAAAGATGAAAAAAATTCATTTTATGAAATGTGAGGGACTAAATAATTCATTTTATGAAATGTAAGGGACTATAGATGGATTATGTAAATTTTGATTTGACAATTTTATCCCTAAAAAATGGTCACATGCAAGACACGTGATAAATTCCCGCAAAAAAATTAGTCGAAAATCTAGGTAGGGACCAAATTTGACCAATGTAAATTTATAAGGGACGAAAAATTACACTTTTAAAAGTGAGGGACGAAAAAAGTTATTTTACAAAATGTGAAGGACGTTTTACAAAAGTTGGTCAGGGAACTCAGTTATTTTCTTATGAATAAAAATTGATTATTTAGCACCTAATTTTAGCCTCATTCCTGTATTACTATGTTTACATTCAGCAAATTTACATTTTTGAACTTTCAAGTTATGCTCAAGGGAAATTAAAAAAAAAAAGAAACGTATTTAACGGGAGGGAAATAAGTAAAGTAGTCCATAAATTTAGAATATTAATAATTAAAGAAAAAAACTCCTTTTTTCTTTAGAAAATACCACCTTAAGATTATTAACTTAACAAGAAAAGGTACAATGATGGGGACATTAAAAGTATACATAGAAACTTTTAAAATCTCCACAAGAATTTCACTGAAAATAAAAGTAGAATATTCTAAGATGTCGAAGTCTTTGTCGGGGTATTTACTTCTATCCAACGGCTAAGTGTATTTTAGATGTTCTTTTTAGGGATTACATTGGCATTTAATTGGAGATGTATGTATTTAATTCTTCAATTCAAAATATGGAAATTTCTAGAGCACACTGATTTTGACGGGATTATCAATAATAAGGGTGATGGACATATGTAGCCAAAAAAAAAAAATCAAGAAATTGGAGTTTAGCATACAGTTAATAGCTTCAGCCAGTGAAGATGAATTGAGACACGAAATTATTAAATTCCGTGAAAAAAAAGTGACGAAAAGGAACAAAAACGCAGATGTCATTTGATGATTGCTAGACAATAAGCACTTACTCATTAAGGTATATTTTGGATGTTAAAGTACTTTGAAAAGTAAAGTTAATTAGGAAACATATAAAAGACGAATTCATTGAACTAATTACCAACAACCGCGGAAAGAACAATTGATGGAGTCCCATAAAAGTGGAGTAGAAGAAATTGGAATGTTTATTGATGAGAAGTTGGTGAAAGGGGGAAAATAGGTACCAACGACCGATTAGGGTGCATTTAATTAAGCAGAAAATGATTTATAGACCCAAGCGTGTAATAACAAAAAAAAAAAAAATTTTTTTGGGTGAATGAGGAGAAAATGAACTGAGACTAGGGAATTTTTTTTTTTTTTGGTTAGATGCCGATCTGGGCGATAGAGGAAAGCAATAGTTGGTTGAAATTTAAGTAGCATTCAGGGGTCGCATAGAGGAATTTCAAATTCGATTAAAGATAGGTTTTTTTTTATGTTAATACATATTTATTTTTCTTAGTAAAAACAAGGAAACAGAAAAGAAATCCATGTTCTTGGTATGAACATTATTAGCACATAAGTAGTGTTTTCAGTGTGTTCTTATTTAAACAATGTATAGTTATTTTTTTCCTTTTTTGATGATAAGCTAATACAAGTAAAATCATGTTGAAAATATATCTGTTTGTTTAAATATATATATATATATATATATATATATATATGCAAGTTCTGCTTTTTTGTCTTTTTGAGGAAGTTGTTGTATCTAAAATCATGGTGGAAGAAAGAGAGGGTGTGAATAGTTGTATTCAAAATCATGGTAGAGAAAAAGAGAGGATTTGAGTATTTTTAAATAACTTTAAAGGATATTTTTTATTTAACATTACCTGACATAAATTGTTTACACCAAAGACAAGATTCTTCCATTATACACAGTAAGTATAGATATTCCAACTGCATAGAGAGAGATTAACATTATTTGCGATGTATTGATTTTTGCAATTTGTGTTTGTAAATTGGTAACTATAAAATGGGGGTGAAAGTGGTAATGTAGAATGTATAAATATTATTGATTTGTATTTTTTGAATTTGTAATTGTGGGACACTAAGTTTTAACCCCAGAAAAAAAAAAAACAGGTTAATTGGCTGTTTGTTTTCTCAATTGCGGGATAAGGGGTTTGTTTTCCCGTTTAGTGGTCAACGCCACCTTTTTCTCCGTTCCCACGGTCAATGCCATTTTTTTTGGGATAATTTCCAAAACCTCCCTCACAACATTTGAAAATTTCAACTGGTATCCTTGAGATTTTCAATATTACACATACCTGTCTAGACCCTAAAAAAGACCATAATAGCCTTAACAATATATTTGTTTCATGCAATTAAACAATCCACTACTAATCTTGTTCATATGAATACATCACACAATTAGATATTTAATAGAAACAAAAATAAAATTCACTCATAGAATAACTAATCATGTACTAAACACAATAATAACATATTAAAATTTAATTTTAGCTTTGTTTGAAGGATCTGTAGATGAATAGAAGAAGATGTAAATTGGGTTTAAAAAGGATAGGGTTGGTATTGACACTCCAATATTGAGGGATAGGATGTTATATTGATGCAGTTATTGAAATTTTTTGAGTTTAACCGTGCAATTTTTTTTTATTTTGATTGAGGTTTTAGAATTTAAGGATTAATGGTGATAATTATACTAATTTGAAATGTGGTAATATGAAAGGTTTAAAATAGTATAAATGAGGGTCGAAAATGAGTTTGAAATTTTGTGCATGTTCAATAAATTTTGAATAATTTTATAAGAAGGTGAAATGAACTTTATAATATCATGAGAGCATTTTGGATTATTCATTCAAAATTTTAACCATTAAATAGTTTTAGTTACCAAAACGGTAAACTCGATGGAGGTATATGTAATTTTTCAAAACTCAAGAAAATTAGGTGAAATTGTTAAAAACTTCAAGGGAGGTTTCCAAAATTATCCCTTTTTGTCCCTTCCCACTCTCCTATTCCCTCCTTAAACCCCTACCCCAACGCTGCATGCCAGGAGGCGAACTGCTGACTTGATAAGCAGGAGCGTAGGTCCCTAACCAATAGCCCAAAGAGGAAAATATGACACAAAAAAAATAGAGATACAAAAATGTAGTAAACCATGTAGTCATTGTAATTACATGCTTACTTTGTGATTAAGCCCTTAATGACTAAGAAATAGGGGATCATGTGTTGGGTTTGTGAAGTGATCAACTAACCTGTTACTCTTATTAACATTTTGCTGACAAGGTTGGAGATTATCTTATAAGTAATCGTCAGAACCAGCTTGTAAATACCAACTAAAGAGGAAAACATGAGAGGCAAGTTTCTTGATAGGGGAGAGGCAAAGTGAGTCACAAGGAGACAAAATGGGTTTTTGAAATAAAAAGGCATTTAATAAAAAATGGATTTTTGA